AAAAAGATTTGGGCGAATATTCAACTTTGTCCACGAGAAATTGTGAATTACTAGCACTGGTCGACATATTAATGTTTTACTGACAGTATTCCTGGTCGGGTTTTACTTCCTTGGAACAAATTTATCGAATCGCGATCGAGATCTGTAAATCCATTGATAACATGTAGAACAAGTTGTGTAATAGGTGCACGCTTGGCTGGATCTTTTTCATACGAATTTTTGAATATCAAGTTGCAAATTGTGCGACTGTCTGCAAATGCTGCAATGGTCCATTGATGTAATTGTTCTCCATATGGGTCGCCAAGAAATTTGAAACTAACGAATGTTTTTAATAAAACAATAAATGTATTTTTTGCGTAATGTGATAAAAATAACCCAATAAAGAAATTAATTTTTAATTAAACTGAATTTGAAGTCCTTTACCACATTTTTGATTGACAAAGTGGAGTTTTCGGAAACCAAGTCTTCCAAGAATCTGTTGGAATTCCAATAAGATAGATAAGACCAAATGTTTATTGTCCCCCCGCTTTACTGAAATTGGGGGATATTATTTTCGGTCTGTCTTGGCTGCAATAATGTAACCCTCTCCGATTTTTTTTAATCCGATGTTTTCTGGAGAGCCTTTCCCAAAAAGGGGGGAGAGGGGTACATTATTGCAGCTAGGTCTGTCTGTCCATCCGTCTGTCAGTATTTCAGTCCGTCTGTAACACGTTCGTTTCCGCGTGATATCTTGAGTTTTCGAGCTTTTGTAATTGAATTTCTCACAACTCTGTATTACCTAAGAAAAACCCTTATTAATTTGAGTTCGAAAGGTCAAGGTCATAAATTTTTGTTTGTTTCAACACTTTTCAGCACATAATAGAAATCTGTGCAACGTGTTTACAAATCAAAAATAAAATCAGAACCTATTTTTTAACTATTTTTATTTCGGAAAACTTAACTTTTAATAGTTGTTTATGTAAAGACAAGCAAGGATTAAAATAAGATTTAATTTCTTAAATGAAAATACCATCGTATGGATATTTTTCCTACTTCATGATATTCAATTCTATTCCAAATATATTCTTTTTATGTTAAGCGAATTCTAACATGTTTTTCATTTGATGCTATCAGACTTTGTAACTGTATACCACAAAACTCTCAAATAATTTCCTTACACATTAGAGAAATTGACAATCAAATCAAACGCAGTGGTTTGAGTATTTCAATATTAATACTTGTATTAATCTTCATGCTTATCTAACAGGAAAATTTTTAATGTAAACTAGATTAATATACATATATCACTTCTTCTGAAAATTTTATCAGTAATTCAATTATTCAATAGATATTGTATTCTCCATTTTTCAGTTACTTGATCTCTATGAGCTGTGTACTTAACAAAGTTGAACACTGCACTTTGCAATGTTGATTTTACAATAATGACTATCTGACATCCCTTCCTTGTCATTTGTGAGTTCTCTCTCTTATTTCTCTCCTTTTTACGAGTGTTGTTTGTTCCACAGGTCTATAGCCATTGTCACAATAATATCCCCACAATCTTCTGGGAGCTGAAAAATATTACACTCAGTCAGTTAATTAAAACTCTCTGTCCATGCTCATTAATTACTGGTATGTACATGTACATTTGTATGCAATTATCTACACTGTTTATTACATGTAATTGGCCAGGAAAGGAAATATTTATTTAACAACCTATATGTATCCCCAAAATGCATCAACTTGCAAAGTTTGATAATATTTAGCCAGTTAAGACTTAAGATATTTTATAATTATAAAATACCATAAGTAGGTCACAGTGACCTACCTTTTGATTGAAATTTTCTGAGGACTCAAGAGACATTAATTGACATAGACTGATGATTCTAATTAAATAAGTACCTGAGATATTCAAAAGTAGGTCACCATGACCTACTTTTTGGTCAACATTCTCTGAAAACCCAAGATGCATCATCTACAAAGTTTTCATTGATTCTAAGCCAATTTGTACCAGAGATAATTAAATATAGCCATCAAATGTCAAAAGTAGGTCACGGTGACTTACTTTTTGGTCGATGATATTCAAAAACCCATAATGCCTAAATTGACAAAATTTGATGATTCTAAGCCAATAAGTACCTGAGATATTCAAATTAGGTCAGTGTGACCTACTTCTTGTTGGACATTCAATGAAACCCTAAAAGGCAGGGTTTCAGATGCCTAAAAGTTTACCTGCCATGCTCAAAGTTTGATAATTCCCAGCCAATAATTCAGGATATATATATTAAATATAGCCATAAAATGTCACCCTCAAAGTAGGTCACCATGTTGTGACCTACTTTTTGCGAAGGTTTTAAACCCAAGGTAAAAACTGACAAAGTTTTATGATTCTAAGCTTATACGTACCTGAATATTCAAAAGTAGGTCACTGTTTACCTATCTTTTATTTTCTCCGAAAACCCAAGATAATCAACTGACAAAGTTTGATGATTTTAGGTCAATAAGTACCCTACTTAATTATAGTCACAAAATGTCAAAAGTAGGTCACCTTAATCTCATGACCTACTTTTTATATTATGTTTTATCTACAAAACCCAAGATGCATCAACTTTTTACAAAGTTTGATGATTCTAAGCCAATAAGTACCGGAGATACTTAAATAAAGCCATAAAATCTCAAAAGTAGGTCACCATGACCTACTTTTAGGTCGTCACTCTCCGAAAACCAAATATGCATGGACTCACAAAGTTTGATGATTCTAAGCCAATAAATACCTAAGATACTTAAATATAGCCATAAAATTCTAGGTCATTGTGACCAAACATTTGTGTTTTTCAAAGACCCAAGATGCATCTACTGACCAAGTTTGATGATCATAGGTCTGAAGATAATCAAAATGTGCGTTTTAAACAATTTGAAAACAAATGTCAGCAAAATTCAAAAAGTAGGTCACAGTGACCTACTTTTTCATAAATATGTTTTAAGGTCCCAAGATGCATCAAAGTACAAGATTTGATGATTCTAAACCTCCCAGAGTCTGAAATAATGGGATTTAATGTTTTTAAAAAGATAAGTCATAAAGTTAAAAAAGTAGATCACGGTGACCTACTTTTAAGTTGACATTTTCCCAAGATGCATCAACTGACAAAGTTTAATGATCATAGGCCTTAAAGTGTCCAAAATATGCCTTCAAATCAATTTGAAAACAAATCCCCACAAAATTTGAGTTAACATGATGTGAAGTTGTAAGGTGCATCAACTTACAAGAATTGATGATCCTAGTCCTTATAGTAAGCAAAATATACACGTTTTTATTAACTGTAAATTTAGGTCAACTTTGAAGTGACCTTGAGACCACGCCCTTTGCCCTAGGGTAATTCCCCGTGCAAATTTTAATCTTCGACATATTCTGATCCTTGTATGTAAGTTTGGTGAAAATCTGCCTGGTGGTTATGGAGATTTTTTAGCAACCAGTACTTTTGGTTTTGTTTTCCTGATTATCTCCCCTTGTTTAAGGGTCCCAACCCTGATTTTAGTATAAATTGTAGCCCTTGGGCCAAGGATACCCTGTGACAAATTTGGTACTGATTGGCCAAGGGGTTCTTGAGTTATGGCCCATATTCTAAAAAGTTTACGCACACCACACAAATGGAGTTAAAGGGGATAGAGTATCAAGCTTGGTTGCGTTAGTTTTTGTGTGTGTTAATTTTTCCTTTGCAGAATGGAAGTGACATAATTTGCACCAGGATTGATGTCAAATGTTGCCTTGATTCAAAGATATGCACTTTGCAAGGGGATGCTCTGCTTTGTCGTTCCCTTGTAACTTTTAATATTTTTTTTCTCAAATGCAGGTACCTCAGAGGTCCAAAATACATTTACAGAGCTTTTAACAATTTTCTAGTGTAAGTTACATTGTACCATTCTTGACTTACATATAAGCAATGTGAACTTTTAAAATTGACTACATAAACATCTTTTTTAAAATTTTGCCAGCATTGGATTGACATTTTCAAAGGAAAATACAAGTTTTGACAATTTAACATAATCAAAGAAAAACTTGGAAAAAAGCATCTTTCTGCTGAGAAACAAGAGGAATCTCTCTAATTGACTGATCTAAGAACAATTAGCTTTAAAATCATACACTATCCTTGTGTGGAGAAACAAGGACCCAGAAAAAGTCTGGTATGAAATGCACCCTTTACTAAGTGATACATATAACAAAATGTATAATAGTCATACATTTATTATATACGTTTGTCATTTTTTTATTAAGAAAGTAAGTAGATGTGACTGTCATTTATGGTTTTTAGCCAGGCTCAATGCTCGTAGAGCAATGCCTGGCTTATGCTACAACGTTCAACAGGAAAAATGCTGCTTCATCACCGCTTAATCAAATTTATGCGTTAGAATATAGTATGTTTGCGCAATCAACTTTGAGGCAATACAAACACTGAATTAGACTTTCTAAGTTATCTGAAATTGTCAAAAAATAATTAAAATACATTGTAATATACTTTCTACCGTCTTCGATTAATTATTTGTTTAAAATATGCAAAAGGTTTTCATAAGATATCCCTGTCTGCGTCATATTCTATAAATAAAGGTTGTACTATCAGGCTAACACAAATGCTGGGAACATCATTAATGACTTGATGTACATTTTGATGCAAAAGTCCCCGCTGAGGACACATCTGTGCATAATCGTTTGACCTTAGTTAACCTTGCTGCATCAGTGTTGATTTTTACTTAACCCCGAAACTATACGTGTGATAAATATTTTACGCTGTTAAATTCTAGCTACATTTTATTTAATTTGTAAAACTTTTTAATACTATATATGCCATACAGATATATTTGTGTGTTACATATCCTCTCAATGTCTAAACTTGTTTTTAAACTGTCATCACGGCATTTGTTCATTACCTTGTAAATGAGTCCGGCTTTCAGTACTTCTGAGTACTTTGATTACATGTATTACCTCTCAAGGCATGTTTCAGGTAGAACCTCAGCAAAGCAGCTGTCAAACCACATTGGTAAGGGGAGAGAATCCCAGAGGCAGTGTTTCTGGAAATGGTCAAACAATTTACCATCTCCATCCTCAGTTTTGAGACTCTGCGTTGTTTTCTGGACCTTTTAGAAAATTTAAACAATTTTTTGAATTGATAAACCGAATAAAATCATTTTATTAAGTTCATATAGATCTATACAGGTATTTAAATTTACATGCAAGAAAATGTGACTTGCAGTATTCCAGTATACATGCATGTTTATTCAAACATACCTTGTAATAATGTAGGTGGTGGAAAAACTTACCAGATTGGAATTACTATCTTTGGATTTCTTGTACATTTTGTAAAATTCAACGGAAATGAGGTAAGCATCAGTTGGATCCTCACAAATATTTGCCATTGTTGCTGCTATTGAAACAAAATCCTCATACTCTGAATCGTACTGAATAAAAAGCATATCAATCATTAAGAATGTAGTACAAAAGTGAAAATCTTATTAAAATTTCAAAATAGAATAAAAAGTCCTGTTCTTCTTTAAAAAAAAAAAAAAAAAAAAAAGCCAACTCGAGCAAATGTGTAAGAAAATTGTATATTTCACATATTGGAGGTCCACAAACTGTAACTGTACAATGAATTATTCCTATACAAATTCAATTTAATTTAACTGCATGTACATTGTGTATACTATATTGAAACATTGTTATTTTGCATACTTGTAAATCTTATTAACGAAATATCCAGATAACTTAAAGAGACCTTTTGGATAAAAAAATAATGCTTCCAGATCACAGGCCTTTGGATCTCTTAAATCAGACTTTTAAAAAAATGGGTGTATGAAAAAGATTTTTTAACACGTACCTATTTTTTTGTCAGCTATCTAAAGGCCTGTAATCCAGATTAAGAAGGCACCAATGTACATGTACATTGAGAGGGGTTGTCCTCAAGACCTAGGAGCCTGGAAATTTTCCTGCCTTTGATGAGATAACCCCCTCCCCCCAAGGTATTCCCCCTCATCCCCCCGTTTAGGGAGGAATCCCCAACGCCCCCTGCTATTTCTATTCTAAGGGAGAACCCTGATTGAGTAATAAATAACTGTTCAATAATAATATACCTTGTACTGCTCAAATTTAATCTGGCCAGACTCCACAAGGTACATTTTGAGGAAGACTTTACCTACAGGTGTGTTTTCATCAACATATCGTAATAGCTTTACTGCGTGATTTAAGTCATTGTATTTTTGTTTCCGTTGCTGCATCAGAAATTCATGAGAGTCTGAATTTGCACACAAAACATCTGAAATAGGAAGAAAACAAAAGGTCTAAGGAGCTATTCAGTATTGCATTGTTAACATTTTACTGATGACAATTCAACAAGATGATTATCTTGTTGACATATTTTCTGATATATATATACATGTATTCATAAATCATAACAGCTATTATTATCTATAAGGTATCAATTTTTGTAATTCAAGCTTACTAAAAGAACTCACCTAAAACTAGTTTCCAAACATAATGTCTATACATTGCTGGCATTGCAAATCTCAGACAAAACTGTCTTAGCTTTTCCACACTTATTGGTTTTTCCTTTAGAAGAGTCTCTAATGATTTCCTCTCCTCCACTCCACCAATTCCAAATTTGTCATAATAGTAAGTCCGAAAATTTCTCTCATCAGACATAATTATATAATTCCGTCTTCTTCAATGGTAGAACATTTAGGCCATTTTGTAACCCATCATACGTCCATCATATTGACTCGTAGATTAAGCAAATCTTCCGAGAAAAAAGATGAAATACATTGCATTATTTAACAGATTAATAAACAATTATACTTCAAAGATAAAAAATATTTGATTTGTATATACATGTATACATAAATTTATTCTTACTGTAACAATGTGTTATTTTATTAGACAGAATGTTCTATCGTTAAAAGTAAAGCTACATATTTACGACCCTGAGAGCATTTTTATTTTTAAAACTTACATGTCCATACAATAAGCATTGAAATTTGCTAAATGTTGAAATATTAGTCCATTTTCAATATTTTTTCCTTCAGAAATCAAATAGGAAATTATGATATGCATGCTAAAAGAGAAAACCAAACCCGTTAAAATTTTCGGAACTCCTCGGATTTGTCTTTCGTAAGTTGGTTGCGTAACTTTTGTTGTGCCAGAGACATAGGCCTAGAAATGTCGAATCTACCTCGACTCCTAAGATTCCCTTCTGTCGTAAGATGCTTCAGAAACTTTCCAAGATATTCAAGTTCAGCGTCTGGAAACGGTGATCAGCCGGAATTTATACCTGTTCCGGAATACGCAGAGCGACATGGAGAAAACATTGAAGTGAGGAAAGCTCGACTACTCTACCAGAGCAGAAAGAGAGGAATGCTTGAAAATGGTCTTCTTTTAAGTACATTTGCTTCGAAATATTTAAGGGATATGACAGAGCACCAGGTTGAGTTATACGACAAACTTATTAACAAACCAAGTAATGACTGGGAAATTTATTACTGGGCAACGGGAAATAAGCCCACACCAGAGGAATATCAAAGTGAAATAATGGACATGTTGAAGGAGCACGCAAGAAATGAGGACAGGGATTGTAGAATCACTCAGCCACCATTATTTACTTGATCTGACACAATATTTTAACTGTGTTTAAGTGACTTGAGCATGTTGGTTTTATAAGTGTTCTAATGTGTAATGTTTTGCTTTATATGCCTTTTTCATCCTTATGGATTAAAATATAAAACATGTAAAATGCATTAAAAGTTTGTTTTTTGTGTAATTCCTTTCTTCAAACACAGTCAAGTTGTATTATGAGTGATAAAGAAATAACTCATATCCTCATTTAATTTGATCGGACTCGGCATCCACTTGAGAATAGGGTAAAAGCAGGAAAGTACAAGCAGATTTGCCATAGTTCAACGTGAAAAGCAATCTCTAATGCAGAGTTGTCGTTCGTTCCTCTCTCAGACACTGTATGAGCCGATGGTAGAGAGTTGCGAGAAAAGATGAACGACGCGCGATGGTTTCCAGCCAATAGTTTATTATGCAACTTAGGAATTTGCATATGATTGATAAATTTATGTAATTTCCATTACAAACATATAGATACAGTTGTCAGAAATTAGTACTGAATTTAAAAGAATATTGAAGGGAGGTGGGGGTAGGGAACCTAGGGATTATCCTGTCTACGAGCACTTACAAGTGCATGGTATTTTTCAAATAATTTGTATGTGATGTAAAGTCAAGGGTTACTGTACTCAAATGAATTGAAATGAAAGACTCTGCCTCGAAATTGTCAAATTAGAAATAACTTTTCCAAAAAAGGTAGTTTTCGATGAAAAGTCATTATTCCAATAAATATATAATGACTCTCATGTATTGACTTTCTGGACTTGAATCACTTTAGAACCATTTCACGCTTAGTTTGGACTTTCAGTAAGGCGTGGCATTCTCGGCGCTACATGTTTACCGCCTGTCAAATGGCGAACAGATTTTCATTGGTTACGAAATTAATAACATCAGGAACATTAAATTGTTGTTGACAACGATGAGACGACTTTAGCTCCACTTTTTTGCAGGATGAGACAATGTAATTGTAAATGTGATACACTAATTGGCATTTGCCCGAATTTCTATCTCATGTATATTTCCACAGTGAAGGAAAGCCGAGAATGCCACGCCTTACTGAAAATCCAAACTAAGCGGGAAATGGTTCATCAATTTACAACTTCCAAAACGACTTTCCTCAGTCGTTATTACGACCTGGTCAATTTTATCTTTTCGTTTCACTAATATGATCCTTACTGTCTTTTGTTAATCATTAACTTTGTGCATGATGTTTTTCAAAAGTTCTTCATCAGAGATAGCTGGGATGGGGGGGGGGGGCTATCAATAAAGTACATTTATTATCACTCATTATTTTTTTATTACTCGAATACTTATTTCTGATTGAATTTGTATGTGTTATTATAAATCTTTAAAATACGTGTTTATATTAAAAATAAGACTGAGTTATTTTAATATTTTAAATCAATCCTAGTTTGAACATTCCTAAAAGAACTATCATTCCATGCCCTTCTCAAGAACTCTAGCTCTTAAGATCATCAAGTTTTGTCCTTAAGACATATCTAAATTAGTATCTTAGGAATATTCCGAGGAATTTTTCGATAACCGATATCATGCCTGCATGATACATACACTTGTTAACAAAATAAGCTCACCCAACTTCCTTGAGGTGAGCTTAAAAAAAAACTCTTACGTGCCGGGTTTTTGTTTACCTAGTTTTACCGAATTCAAGATGGATGCCAAAGTTGGCGCAAAATTTGACATTATGAAATCTTGTTCAAGAAATTCTTATTTTACGATATTAAAATAGCAAAATTACATCAGATAGCAAGAGCTATTTTAACAGAAGTCAAGTAACTTATAAAAGTTTAATCTATATCTAAAAGAATGTAACACAAGAGGTAGGTTAAATACAAATATAATACGTGAACTAATGGGACAGTGATGTATTTGTGAACGCAAAGGAACCATCATAAAGCCCCTCCATGTCTGCTGCCAGCGATGGAAGCGATCAAGATATGCCCACAGATTCCAACACATCAATACTTCCCCAGATCCCGATGGACTCGGTTCAAAGTTCACCTATTCGAGGCGGGGTATCACAACAGAATCGGAGATCCCCGACATCCCCTTCTAGCTCAAGAAATCAACAGACATTGGAGGGTTTCTTCATCGGGAGGCGACAGAGTGGAGGGGGTGATAATAGACCCTCGGTTAATCTTAGCTCAGCTCCTCCTTTACCTGTGTTCAGCATACCTGAAGAATCAGGTGTGCCTAGGGCAGTGGTAAGGCCGGTGGTAAGTTGCATGTTATACATATATTATAGGCCTACATATAACAGAATGGATGTGTAATTTAATTAATAATGTAAACTTCAAAGTTTATTCCAAAAGATAAAATTAGATAAGCTCTTAGTCTTAGATAAATTTTCCTGAAGTGAATAGTTGGTGACTTAAGGAAAATAATATCTATTGATTTAGGTTCCCGGAGAGGAAAATGTGGACAATACTGGGGACAGATCACCTGAAGTTATATCTAGTGAAGAGGAAGATTCAAGATCTTCAAACCAAGATGTGGTATCATTACCTATGTCTTCATATAAAGAGATTTTTTTTTAATAATTTTGATGATGAAATAAAATGTAATGTTCTTTTATTTAGGAGATATATTTTTAATTCTTTAAAAGAAATCTTAGATGTCATTCTTCAACAAGGTTCTAATCTAAAGCTCTCATATTTATACAAATTACAGATCAATGCAAGTCAAAGAAATATAAAGAGGAAAAAAATAAAATATTTTGAATTACTAACATATATATAAAATTTGATTTTTTAGGAAATTCTTTCTAACCCTGAGGAGGAAAATTCCAATTCATCCCAAGAAAATCCAGAACAAGCGGGACCATCTGGTGCCCAGGACACTGTACAGTCATCTTCTCAGGGCCAACAAACCATGGCTCCTGTACCAGCAGCTAATGTTCTATCAATACAGGCAACCACCAGCTCCCCTTCAGATTTCAGAACTCCTAAACGAAGGAGGGTAATGTCGACTCCAGAAAAACCAGGGGGAGCCACAGGTGGACCAGAGGATGACACTGAAGATGGAAATGTGAGAGAATTACAAAGTTTACAAATTAGTGTTATACACTTTTTAGAAATCTGTTACCTGTAAAATTTTTGTGCATAAGAGACTGATACAATTGAATTTTTTCTGGTCTTAAAAAGAACAGGAGAAATTACATGTATTAAAAATAATTATATATATACTTTCGTATATTTTAGTGTTGCCCCATCTGCTTTGAAGAATGGTCAACTTCAGGATCTCACAGACTAGCATCTCTGAAATGTGGTCACTTGTTTGGACAAATAATCATGGTAAAATTTTTTAGCAAATACTTTTTCTAATCATTTCTGTAATATTGAAATGACAACTTGGTTTATTTTAGCTGTATAGAGAAGTGGTTGAAAGGTCAAGGTGGAAAATGTCCGCAGTGTAACTGTAAAGCCAAAAGACAAAAACATAAGAGTCCTGTATGCCAAGTCACTAAAGGTAATGCAAAAAAAATAATTCTCACTTCGTTCGTCCGAATATAAATTAAGTGCTAAATAATCAACAAACATGTGTCGTAAAACAGGATGCTGCGCGCTAGCTTTTTATTTTCAATATACAATTTTCTCTCGATCCAGAAATCTATATATGATGACCATCAAGCGAAAACCACCCTTATGTGCATTATGACGTATCGAGAAAACGAGCGCTAAAGTTGACGTCATAAATATTTGCAATTTTGCAAATAAGTGCAGTGTGAAGACGCATCAATAATTATAATATTTCTTCATACAGTAAATGCTTATACTTAACAACATAATAAGTAGTCGTAAATATAATAACAAATCCACTGGTTAGTAAAAAAAATGATTTACATCAAACTGAAGGTGAAAATCCTTTGAAGTAGCGAATACCACGGTCTTCGCTTTTATTTTCATTTTCGAGGAATATTTTCTTTTACTTCTAAAACACAAATATGGGGGAGAAATGCATATTATCTTTTGACTAGAGCAGCAACAAAATGGACGTAGATCTACTCTTATTCAACATTATTTTGTCACTATTAATTGATATTTTTTATATTTATGATAAAAAGCATAGAAAGCCTAATAAAGTGTAAAGCCAAGGCGTTGGATTTATACAAAGGTGTGTAAGTTTATTGCAAACTAAACAGCGTTATGTACCAAAAATCAAAAACAAGCTTCAAGAAATGGGGAGGCGGGTCACACAAATATAATTTATCAGTATATAATTGAAGTTGGATAACAAAGCCCTCAGTACAATTTCACCGGAAAAATATACATGTACTTGACTATGACAAATGAAAAAGTTCGTTTTGTTTTGCTATGAAAAAGTTCGTTTTGTTTACTTTTTAGCTCACCTGAGCCGAAGGCTCAAGTGAGCTTTTCTGATCACATTTTGTCCGTCGTCCGTTGTCTGTCCGTCCGCCCTGTCCGCTGTCTGTCCGTCTGTAAACTTTTCATATTTTCGACTTCTTCTCAAGAACCACTGGGCCAATTTTGACCAAACTTGGTACAAAGCATCCTTGGGTAAAGGGGAATTTAAATTGTTAAAATGAAGGGACATATCCCCTCGCAAGGGGAGATAATCAAGAAAAGACAAAAATAGGGTGGGGTCATTAAAAAATCTTCTTCTCAAGAACCACTGGGCCAGTAAAGCTGAAAATGGGAAGCATTTGGGATGGTTCAAATTGTTCAAATCATGACCCCCGGGGAAGGGCGGGGCCACAATGGGGAATCAAAGTTTTATATAAATTTGGAAAAATCTTTAAAAATCTTCTTCTCAAGAACACTGGGCCAAAAAGCTAAAATTTTTGGGAAATCCTGGGGTGTAGATTCTAAATTGTTCAAATCATGACCCCCGGGGGGAAGGGCGGGGCCACAAGGGGGGAATCAAAGTTTTATATAGAAATATATAGGAAAAATCTTTGAAAATTTTCTTCTAAGAACCACTGGGCCAGAAAAGCTTAAACTTATGGGGAAGCATCCTGG